GAAGCCTGCTTCTCCCTCTCCCACTCCCCCTGCTTGTGTTCCCTCTCTCACTGTGTCTCTCTCTGTCAAACAAATAAAATCTTTAAAAAACAAAAAAACAAAACAAAACAAAAAATAAAACCACGAGTAGGATTGTAATAAGAATTTTATTTTTTCAGAATTAAAACTACACATGTGGGGTTGTAATGTGAATTTATAGGCAGAGATAAGGTATCTTGTCCAAACAAGAAAGAAAAACACAACTAAATGTTGTTTTCCACTTTTTTTACTGTATGTAGTTAGGACCATGAGTCTGAGCTTACATTCCTAAAAGCTACAGGTGTCAATCAGATCATTCAGAGAGAGCACTCAGAATGAGAAGAGAGAAGCATCAAGCCTGTAAAAGAAGAACCCTCCCAGGAGCCTTAAAAGGGAGCCTATGCGAATCAGCATGTGATTCTAGAGAGTGGTTCAGCATGGCTTGATGTTTATTTTTAAGAAGTGTAAAGATGATATTCCAGCAGGTCTCAAGGTTTTTCACCATCACAGTCATTGATGATGGTGATGGTAGCCCTTTGTTTTTTGTTATTATTTGGTTTTTTTCTAGCTTACCAGTTTGTTCTGTGCATTTTTTAAGGTCCTTAAAATTCTGGTCAGGGCAGTGGTTGACGGGATGACCGATCGAAGTGGAGATGTTGCAACTGGCCTCAAAGGGAAGCTGCAGGAGTTACTTGGCAGAGTGACTTCAAGAGTGACGAATGATGGAGAAATCTGGAGGCTGTATGCCGAAGTGTATGGAAATGGGCAGAGCGAAAAGCCTGATGAAAATGAAAAGGTAAGTCCTCTTTCAGTCCTCCCGGGTGCTTGCCTTTTGTTTGAATTATGTGTATTGGATCTGCTTCCTTGATGGTTGGAGGAAGAGTTAAATAGCTTGAAATGGAAGATTGATATGCTCAGGTTTTCCGTTTTGATTCAGAATCTTTAACATAAGCACTTTGAATTGTGGGCAGGTTAAGACTTGTAAGCATTCACTTTTTTTTTTCTTTCTATGAATTTTTCTTACATAATTTTCTCTGTTTCCTGCAAAAGGTCTCTCCAGTCTGCTCCCCCACTGGAGCTGCCGCGAGCAGCTGCTCCCATTATTTACCCCCAGCCCTTTCTGCGGGCTCCTTGCTGAAGACTCAGGGAGATGGGGCCCAGGGACAAAGATGGTTTAGATCTGAGATAGGGGCCATGGAAGGGAAAAAGGAAAAGGCACTAGATAAGAACATTGGAGGAGAGCTTGTAAGTCTAAACACAAAATGCTTTACAGAGGTTGCCCTGCACCTTTCTCGGAAGTGCATTAGAACACCAGTTACACTCAAGTTATGCCTTTGGCCTCTTATCTTAGAACTCAAAGGAGCCCCCAGAGTTTGCAAGGTTGAAATAACTGTTTTCTGTTCTTTTCAAAACATCCACAACAAGTCACATGTACTCCTTGCGTGAGTTTGGAATTCGCTGCAGTACAGCTAATCTGTGGGATTCCTAGCCATCTCTCCTCCCTCAGTCCACCCAGCTGGCTTCTACCATTGCTTGTCAACCCAGAGAACACATAATCACACGCACGCATGCACACACTCCTACTTTCTCTCCTTCCATTTCTTCTTGAATTATGTGCTCTTGCATATGGAATCAAGGGTAGTCTGAATTCTCTGATCGGTGACTTCTCCCTCAAGAATCTGCAAGGATGGGGCTGGGAAAGAGTGTTTTAAACTTCTGTGAGTATACACACCTCTCGGTAATTCTGTAGGTGTCGTCAAGTTCATGCCTCATTCTCTAAACCGGGCTCTTAAGCTGATGGCTACAGATGCTGAGGAAAGGTGTGTGCCCTTCTTCTAGATTTCCAAACCTGGCATTTCTGTTTTTCTGTTTGGAGGGAAGTGTCTCTATCCAAATACATCCATTTGATTGCTTTTAATTGCTTATTGCTGTTGGCTGTGCGTCTGTACCCTTTCTTTGATGAGAATAATAAAGACCGTGCTGCATGACACAGATGCTAGTTTTTCAAGTTGGAATTAGTTCCACATGACTTCCAGGAAACCGAGTTTGAAATGTGCATTCTACTTGTTATTCTGAACACTGTTCTTTTTCTGTCCTCAGGCGTTCCAGTATCTCTCTAAGGCATACAAGTGTGACACACAGTCCAGTTGTTGGGAGAAAGATATGACATCATTTAAGCAAGTGGTGCAGAGAGCCTTAGGACTCGCACATGGTATTTGATGTAACGTTTGCTATCCCTGCCATGTTTTAATGTATTTGTACTGAAAAAGAATTTGTCAGAAGTGAAGTTCCATTACAAATAACTTCAGATTATTTCCTTCTATGGAAATTGTCATATTTCATGCAGCAAATCTTTATAAGACCAGCTGCTAGGTAGTAAGCACTTCGGAGCAACAGGAGCAAATAGAGGCCAGAGCGTAGGAAGGATAGAGGCTTAAATACCATTGGAATAAGTGATGGGTATCAGGAGCTTTCAAGACGTGAAGTACCTTTCCAACTGTATCTGACCTTCAAGCACACAAGGGCCGTTGGTGTTGCTTGTGTAGTATTAAGGAAATCTGTTAACATTTCCTGACTTGTAGTCTTCCTTTATAAATGGAAATATTTTTTCTCAAAAATACATAGATTACTGGAGGACGTAGAATGTACAAAAAGCTGTGGCATATGCAAAAGAAATAAAAAATATAATCCTATCCCTGCGTTTGGGAAATTTAGTGGATGATATTCGAGGGGAGAGATAACCTTACATATAAGGTTGCATGCCTGTTGGGTATATTCCAGATAAAGGCCCCTTTTCATTATTTGCATTAATGAAAAAATATACCAGTTAAATTTAATAATGCATTTTTATATTTAGAACTGAGTATGGATGTGTGATGCCCTGGATATGCAGTTCAAATAAAATAATGAAGCCACAGTGTTAAGAACTGAATCACAGAGACTATGAACCTATCCTAAAGTCCTCCTCTAACTTTTTTGGCAACTAATAGTTACAGTAATTGGGGAGCCAATGAGACCGTAAAAAGGGCAGACCCTTGAAATCAGGGAGACCTAAACTCCAGGACCGGCTCTGCCACGTACTTGCTAGGTGGTGTTGGGTAAATCACTTAACTCCTCTGAGCCTTAGTTCCCTCATCAGTAAAATGGGGGTAATGCCTACCTTCTTGTTAGGAAGAATAAATGAAAACACATTTAAACACTTAAGAGTATCTTGCACATGGTTGAAATGTGAATCCCTGACCTTCTCACCCCAACCCTGTTCCTTCTGGGGTAGAGGAGCTGAGCTGTCTGATAAGGCATTCAAAACTAAAAAGAGAAAAAGGAAGAACAAGAGTAAAGGTTAACGTGTCTCTAAAGAAGTCACAGAACATTCGAACAGTTTAGAAATGGGCTTAGTAGTTGATAATTCTACTTACGGTCTTTGATATCACTGACAAGAAGGATATAAATATCCAATTATCTGGGCCGCCTACCCCTTGACAGATCAGGGAGACATGCTGAACTCTGGGTAGCTGAACTACAGAGTAGATGAGGTGGAGGTCATCGCCGATAGACCCGTGGAATGTGGCTGCAGTTCATGTGGATTGTGCTGGCCTCATGGTGGGTGGGCTCAGAGGGAGTGCAGTCCTGATGCCTTTGACCTTTGTGAATATAGTACCATGTTTGAGGAAACCCATACCTAGGTGTATTATGTACATAATTACAGCAAGGTGCAATCTCCTTGGAAGAATTTATCTTATCTACTTGAGATTGCCAACCCTAAACATTTCTGTGAACAGCTAGCTTTGTAACAGTCAAAGCCAAGATATTTTCTGTAGTCACTAAGTGATGCTATTAAACCTGTCAAATATAAATGCACAGGTTAAAGAAATAAGTACTGCAGGAAGAAAATCTTCAGTTTGTATCTTAAAGTCGTTTTTAAGCTATTTTGGGCACCGTTTTTTATCAGGGCAGTACTGGGAGAAAAACAAGCTTCTATTCTTTTAAGTTTCCTCTGACTTTAATGAATTAGGTGTTGGTGTTCCTACAACACTTTAAGCATCTGTGAGTGGATGCTCAGCTTTCTGGTGATATTTTAGATTTATGAAGATAAAACTTTACCTTTTCTTTGTTGCTTTTTTTTTTTTTTT